AATAAACTAGACTTCAATTTGTCGTCAGTATTAAAGTTAAATTAAAAAATAAATGTCTCAACAAATGCATTGTATTTTATATTTGAGTTTCTTATTAGTCTCACAAGAATTGTTTAATAACCTTATTCTCTATTTGCTATCATTACCAGTATTTTGCGTCAACACAAAAAATCTAATATACAGTACAATAGCTTTTGTTTTATTACACAATTCTCTTGTGTGTATGTGCTCTCAATTAAACTTCAGATTTTTTATTTTAAATGAAATGCCAATGAAAGTAGAGTTCAAGTTTAAGATCTCTTTTTAAGACAACTATTTAAAAAAGTAAATATTCCTCAGAAAAACCTTTTCTGTTCACATTGTATTAGGAATTCATAAAACTTAATGAATAGCTTAATGTGATTATTGTGTTTATGACATTAACATTGTACAGTAGACAAATAAATAATAAGTGATCACACCATTCACTAATGCCGTACGTGTGTTGATAGGCTTACCTCCATTAACCATAATAGAGGGATTGCCAGTCGGACTGTTATTATGATTGGCGTGAGTTGCCGACGAGGCCGACGTTTGCGTGTAATTTGTGGCCCGATTTCGGTTAAAATGTTGGGAATGACTGCACATCACGTTTTCCTTCGTATTCTTCTCGGGCTTCAAGAGCGCGATATACACCTTAAGAATCGCATTAAGAATTGCATTCAAAAACTCAAAGAATATTCTGTGTGTGAGTGCATACTATGCATAGTGTGTTGACTTACTTTGGGTACGAAGAGACAGGCAATCTGTACGGCGCCGCTCAGACTCAATAGGCAGCTGAGTGTTACTGATCTGATGGCAGTACTCGTACTCAATACAAACAACGGCAGGAACGCCAACCAAATGACACAAGTCGTGTAATTCGTAAACGTTAGATAACGCGCTTCGTTGAAACCTTCCGGACATTTGCGGGTTTTGAACGCATAGGCCGTACAGAAGCCTGAGATTCATATTACAGTCAAAGAATTTATTAGGAATTGAGATCCGATTAAAGTATAATATGTTTTATATTTAGTTATTATAGTACGGTAAGGGTCTTATTACCGATTAAAATGGATGGATATATGAGTCCAACGAGATATGAGGTATTATCAGAACCCAGACATATGAGTATATTATCCTCACGAGTGGGATAAACGTGTGTTACATCGGGTTTGTCATGGAATAGCCAGCACACGTTGATTATGATTTCCAGAGATATCAAAAGGCCTGTAATTACGAGCTGTGACTGTGGGGATGTATACTTGGGTTTAGTACATGAACGGCGTCTCCTGTTTATACGAAACATAAATTTATGACAGCAATCAGTTAAACAATTTAAAAAATTATAATCAATAAAAAATTATTCTTTATAAAAAGAAATCTAAATTGTTAAAAATTAAATTCAATATTTATCAACTTCGTTACAATACCTGAATATTCTGGAAATTCTGTTAGTTTTGGTGACAATCGCTGAATAGCATACTGTGTAACAGAAGCCGAGGAAAAATCTTGTTAACCCACACGTCCAGGGCGTGGGTTTGGCAACGATCACGAATGTCATACTAAATGACATGAATATCCCCATCAGTAATAGGTAACTGAGCTCACGTCCCGCCGCTTTGATGATTGGCGTAGAGCTGTATATCCAGAAGACTAGTATTATGAACGCCGTGATAGTCATACCCAACACCGCGAACACCATCGTCCCGAATTTGTCATGGAATAGCCAGCACACGTTGATTATGATTTCCAGAGATATCAAAAGGCCTGTAATTACGAGCTGTGACTGTGGGGATGTATACTTGGGTTTAGTACATGAACGGCGTCTCCTGTTTATATGAAACATAAATTTATGACAGCAATCAGTTAAACAATTTTCAAAATTATAATCAATAAAAAATTATTCTTTATAAAAAGAAATCTAAATTTTAAAAAATTAAATTCAATATTTATAAACTTCGTTACAATACCTGAATATTCTGGAAATTCTGTTAGTTTTAGTGACAATCGCTGAATAGCATACTGTGTAACAGAAGCCGAGGAAAAATCTTGTTAACCCACACGTCCAGGGCGTGGGTTTAGCAACGATCACGAATGTCATACTAAATGACATGAATATCCCAATCAGTAATAGGTAACTGAGCTCACGTCCCGCCGCTTTGATGATTGGCGTAGAGCTGTATATCCAGAAGACTAGTATTATGAACGCCGTGATAGTCATACCCAACACCGCGAACACCATCGTCCCGATGGCCCACCAGTCCGTATAATTGAGATAAGCCTCCTTTATGGCCAGACATCGAGTCTTACCAGTTGACGGTAAAGTGCCTTCAAATATATAAGAATATTAATTTTAGTCAATTTTATTTTTCATAAATTATATTTCATTAATGTAATTAATGTATCAAAATATTGTATAATCAATTTATTGTAGTATAGTGTATTAGCAACTCGTATGATATTAAATTTATTTGTCAAGCTTAATTTGTTTTGCAATTAATTATATTTTTCAGTTTATTGTTTATTAAATTGCACAAAAACATGTCTATAATATAATATTTTGCCTGAAGTCTTAAAGAATTAATAATTTATTAAAATTTTTGTTGTTTTTAATCATTTTGAATATAAATTTAATTTTCTATATAAGTTATGGATTAAACTTAAAATACATTTTGATATATGAATATTTCGTAACTTATTTTTCGCTGAAAATTAAGTATTCAGTTTTCAAAATTGCAATTCTGAATTAATTGTCATTCAGAGTTTTAATTAAACAATCAAATAGAGTCCGTGATGTGTGTGTGTGTGTGTTGGGTATGACTATCACGGCGTTCATAATACTA